AAAAAAAAAAAAAAAAAATTCCTACCGCCTTCTCATTCCTCTTCCACCTCGGCCCCCACGAAAACCACCTCCACGGCCTCGGCCAGCCATGCCGGCCTCTCCTTGTGCACTCTCAGACTGCATCATATAAAAAAAAATAATAATAAATAAAAATAAAAAAAATCGATTGAAATTTAAAAATAAAAATAAAAAAATGCCGTTTAGGACCTTTAGGTTTGGTCTAATAGAGAATGTTTTACGAAATAAGACTAAAATTACAACTAGCCCATTTGCATTATGCCTCGGTTTTACGGATTGCCATTCGAATAAGAAGTTGGCTGAACAAAGAGTTCGAATTACCTTAGGGTTCTTCACAGTTTCGTCGACACTTAAGACGAGGCAAGCTGCTTCAGTAGCCGCATTTATGGCGTTAATCTGTGATGCAAGACACCATCAATCTTTCAAAAATAGAAATACACGGGTGAAAAAGAAATATTTTATAATTTCGGAACGCATATTTATTTTTTTTGGCTATTTTTTATTTAAACAAAACTTCCAAATGTAGAAATTGGAAATATTCCCTGCTCGAAAAGGAAAAAAAAAATACCTTCACAACAGCCGGTTCCCAAACAAAGTTGGCGAATGAATCAGCAATTCCGCCTGTGTTAATGTCTACACCGTAAGGTGCACCTTCCCCTGTTTATAGTTCGAAAAGAATCAACAAATATCACCAAATTTACATCGAACGGATTTTTAAATGTATTTTAAAATTAAAGATAGCACTAGGAAACACCAACAAGGACATGTAGGAGTCTTCGAAATCCCATACTGTCCCGAAATGTTTTAGGGAGTAACTGAATGCAAGTTATTTTGGATTTGTTGGATAACCAGAATTAATTTCAAAAAAGTTGATTGGGTTAAGTTTGAGTGAGATTTTGAGTTTGTATTAAAGTAATATTTAAGAGATAATGATTAAAGTTAATTTGATGTAAAAGTAGAAGAGATGTATTAGAAGTGACAGGTAGTTAAAATTATATTAGTGGATTAATAGTGAATTAAAGCTGATATGATGTGTGAAAATGATTAATTTACATTATTTAATTACACTGATAATATTGAGGAGGGTTTGGTTGGGTTAAACTTTAGTTAGATTTTGAGTTAAAAAACTATATAGAGCAGATGATTTATAACCAACCAAGGTCTTCGAGGCTTACCAGATGGAAGGGCATGTTTTTGTCTCAGTTTGTTCAAAACATCAGTTGCATCAAAACCAGCATTATCACAAAGTTGTCGTGGGATAATCTGCATCAAGACAAGCATACACTTAAAGACTAATAGCAAAGATCGAACTAAAATAAAAGGAAAGCGACTACATTATAAGAATCGATTATCAAAGAGTAACAACTCAAAGACTCACATTCCGAAAGAAACAAAAGAATAGATATACGATAATAATTTTCTCAAATAATTACCTCAAGCGCTTTAGCATAAGAGTTTATAAAGAGCTGCGACTTGCCAGCAATGGTTCGTGCATGTTGTCTCAAATACCTACTTATCTCCATCTGCAAATAGCCAAATACACACCTTTTAGCCGAAACTTCAAGAAATCCATAAAATGCAATGAGAACTTCCAAAAGCTTTCAAAAAGCAGAAGATTCATACATCTATTGCACCACCACCGGCTACAACAGTTGAGTTCTTAAGAGCCCTTCGAACAATCATAATAGCATCATGCAAACTTCGCTCCGCCTCCTCAATAAACTAAAACCATCAAATTCATCAATCAGAATCACTTCAAAAATAAAGCACGAACAAACAAGAGGATTACCACGATTTTTTACAAACCTGGTCCGCGCCACCACGAAGAACAATAGTGGCGGTCTTACCAGACGGGCACCCACTAAATATATTAAAACGCTCGTTTCCAACTTGCCTCTCTTCAAATAGGTCACAAGATCCAAGAACCTTTTTTTCCGAACAAGGGAAAAAGAAAAAGGAATTTGTCAGATGAGTTTTAGGAAAAGTTTGATGTGACTATTTATTTAGGTCAGACTCAATATATAGGAATGTAAGTTTGTTATTCGTTTATTTATTTATTTATCTGTCATTAGAAGTATTATGCAGGAAATGATAGTATTCAAGAGAATAATAACCTCTTCAATGACATTGTTCACAGTTGTCTGAACAGTTCCACCGGTAGCTGCAGCAACTCGCTGTAAATCTTCTTCGGTAACACGGCCAGCACAAAAAATATCCCGATCTGCAAAATACTGCAGAAAAAGAAAATGATGAGGTTCATAAATAGACATTTTTTCTTAAATTATGAGTTGCAGCATATTTATTTTCCACAAAACATTGTTTGCAATGATCCAGAAGATGAACTCTATTCGGCAAATACTAAGAACAACTATAAAGTCAGGAGACTGAAAATAGTACCTGAGTACCCAGATCACCAATAGCAAGCCGTGATAAAACAACCTTGGCTCCACTCTTTACACATTTATCCAATTTGTCATAAATGATATTCCATTCTGCATCTACGATCGACTGATACTGTAAGGGATCAGACAACCTGAAATCGAAAGAATTTCATCATAAGCAAGCATTCATGAACACAACTACTTTATAGGAGATAGGAAAAGTAAGAAATGGCAAAAAATCAAACCTAATTTCCGCATTTTCTTTCTCTGATTTCAACTCCAATTCGATGTTTAGCAAGAGTATCTTTGGATTTAAAAACTTTTTCGGCTGCTGCTCAAAACCAGCATATGAGAATGTCTTCTTGAAGGCAACGCCATTCACAAGAAAAGAATCCCTCATTGTACCACCAGGAACCTAGAAAAGCAAATCAACACATGTTTGTTACATGAAAGATACAAGAAGCATGTAGCATACTGAAAGTGATATAGTGAAGTGAAATGACACATTAACTAACTGAAAAGCAGGACTGCAAGAATTAAGTCACAAGTTCCAACTATGCATTGTAGGATGGTTCTCCACTGAACAGAAAGACATTTCAACATCACTTGAAACATAATAATTTATCAAACAAATAGTCACCCCAAGTTTCTGATTAAAAGAAATAGCGCAGTTATTAATATGTTAACTTCAGTTAAATAGTAATTTTTACATTTCTGCATGTATTTCTGAAGTACAAATGCAAACATCTAATGGATGTCTACAGTACTTTAAAAATTAAAAATCAAAACTCTCATTCAATCAAGTGAATCGAGTAATCTATTATGAAATAAAACTCTAAAATGCTACTCACATCTTAACTCAAAAGTGTTGCCTCCCATCAAAACTATTAAACTCATAATAAACTACCCTGAGAATATAACTCACTCGTTAAGAACAATTAAAACTGCCAAAAGAAGAGAAAACACATTGAAAATAAGCAACCAGCAAATTCAAAACTGTACTCATAAACAAAATTAGATTTCTCCTAAAAAAAGAATGCAAAATTCAAAAGAGTTACGGTAAAACGTAACAATAATATACCTTTTTAATTCCAATCATGTTTAGCCTATCATCATTCCCAATGGCAAGAACAGCATCCACCACCATGTTAGCAAAAAACTCCTTTTCGCCACCAATGAGCTTCGAAGATAGTGTTGTGGCAGCACATTTAGCAAGTAAACTCTTCTTTTCTTCCAAACTCTTCCCCTCTATGCTAATAGCCAACTCCTTGATCTTCTCAATGGCCTGTAAAAACCGCCAAGAATCAGATTCATTTCCAAACACAAACACAGGATTGAAAATGTTAATACCCCTACCAAAGAAGAAGCTGCCCGATAACTTCTTATAAGGTTTTGAGGGTGGACTCCATCTTCAACAAAAGGCTTTGCTTCTTTCAGAAACTCTCCTGCAAGAAGAACTACTGTAGTGGTCCCATCACCAACCTGCAGAAGAAACAGAGAATAACTCAGTTAAGGAACTTTATTTGGTATTTTATATCTACTGCCAGGGGAGAGCCCGAAAAATACGATAAAGTAATAATACAATAATGTACAGAAAAATAACAAAGAAAATAGTACCTCTGAGTCTTGGGACTTTGCAATATCAACAAGAATCTTGGCAGCAGGATGAATAATGTCGAGGAGCTTCATTATGGTGGCACCATCATTGGAAATGGTGGTGTTTCCCTTCTCATCATGGATCAACTTATCCATGCCTCTTGGGCCAAGGGTACTTCGCACTACATCGGCAACAGCCATGCAAGCATTTATGTTGCTTATTAGTTGTGGTTTTCCTTGAGATGTATCAGTCCCTTCCCTGAGCAGGATGATTTGTGGTTGCTATTCATTGAGCACAAGCATCACCAAAAACAGTTTGTTTTAGCACGAGATTAATGGAATAAAATAATTATGCAAATATACCCATTTCCACCAACAGAAAAACTATATTGATTTTGCCAATACAGTTAATGTATCAAGTCAATTTTTTTTTTGAAAAAAAAAAGAAGGAAAAATAAAAGGGAACTTGAGCCAGGCAAGAAAAGCTAGATACCAAATCCTAAGACCACAGTTAATTTTGTTCAATATTTTTCCTGGACATCCTGAACTATTTAACAAACTTTCTACATATTTTCGATGAATTCTATTTCCAGCTAACAAAAAAATGCTGCTGCTTATCTTCTACTTTCCAAGTTTTTATATCAAAACTAACCTTCAACTTTTCAAGGCCTAATGACCAATCTAAAACATTAATGAATAATATGTGCAAAATCTATCTTAAGTTGACGTAGTAAATCATTCTTCAATAGTTCAATAGCTTCACATAACTACTTGTGAGATTTCTAACTCAACCCTTCTCTTTTCCCAATCATCGGTTTGGAATCGGTTACCTAGCAAGATCTAATTTTAGCATCTATCCAGCACACCCAAGAGAGAAAAAAAAATGTCCGTAAAACAACATACGTAAATTCTGAACAGCAGAATCAATAGTCTACTAGATGGGTTCCCACGTATTGCTTCTAAAGATTAAATCTTTAGCTTATGATTAATCTGTTGAGGTAGTCATTGGTTTGTTACTTGAAAGACGACGACGTTCCTCAAAAGATATAACCATTGCAATCATCGACATCCATTTTTTGGGTTTGTTTTCTCATAATCTGAAGAAGAGTCTGTCAAATCTTAAACAAAATAAGCCAAAATGAAACGGATAAAGCACCCAAAACCCTAAGAGCGATGAACCCAGCAGCAGTATTCAAACTCAATTAACTGAAAATCCACAATACCAAGAACATGAATGTGCTTTTTCCTCTTCGTAAAAAGCATATTCGGATACTTCGCAGACAGAGAAAGACGGATCGAGCTTACCAGCATGGCAGACATGGTTAGATTTGGCGTTCGTTATTGGGCGTCCTTTGCTGAGATGAGAGTGAAGTGTGTGCAGAAAGTTCTAGGGTTTTTCAAATCTATGGGGTTTCTTGGGTACTCGCTCGAATCTCTTACTAGGTAGTAGGGTGAGCAAACCCCGACCCGAAAAATCAAACCTAATCGTGCAATTCGGTGCATTTGTTCGGTTCGATGACCCGCACCAAATTGAATTAAATTAAATGTATAGAAAAAAATGTAATAAACCAAAGATCGAGATGGTGCATTTCAGTGTAATCGATTCGGTTATTTCAATGTATACAAAATTCAATTCTGACTTTGGTTTGATTTTTCTAACTTGCACAACGGCTTATTAGTTTTTTTTAATCGAACTGCACCCTTGTTCACATCTAAGACTATGTTTGGTAAAACTAGCTGATAAGCTAGCTTGTAGTTTATATGTAATTTTCGAGCTTATAGCTTATAGCTTATGACTTATAGCTGAAAAGCTAGCTTATATAATAAAAGTGTTTGGTAAAATTAGCTGATAAGTTAGCTGGAATAAAAAATTCAACTAGCTTATTTGAAAAACTACCTAAACAAGCTTATCAAATAAGCTCGAGCTTTTAAAATAAGCTCGTCCTACCAAACGGGGCTTATTTGAATACAGGAAGCTTATAAGCTAACCAAATAAGCTATAAGCTAGCTTATTTGGTTTACCAAACACAGCCTAAGTAGACTTGTGTTCCGTACTTTTTGTGAGGTATGATTTTTTCCCCAAAACAAAAGAAAAAAATAAAAAAAAGTGAGATAGAAAAAAAGGAAAAAGGTAAATAAATTACAAAATATACATATATATAATAATTCAAGTTGATATGATTCAAAAGAGAAAAAAAAAAAAAAGTGAGGTAGAAAAAAAGGAAAAAGGCAAATAAATTACAAAATATACATATATATAATAATTCAAGTTGATATGATTCAAAAGAGAAAATATTGGTTTAGCGGCTGCCTTCCATACGGGCTTACACCGGGTCTCTGCTCCGCCTACGGGAGTGGGTGCATGGCTTGAGCATGATTATATTGAGGTATCATACCCTCGATGAGTTTTAGCTTAGGACCGTGAACATCTTTTTTGCACCAAAAAAAAAAAAGAGAGAAAATATTGGTTGATAAGATTAATAATTATAAACTGATATAAAAAAAAAATGAATGAAAATATTGGTTGATAAGACTATAGTATTATATACTTATACGAAAAATATTGTTCTACCTCACAATTTTTGGCAACTTTAATCAAGCTTTTAAATATTAGCGAACAGAGCATAATATGTCTTAAATATTGCAACTCGAATTTAAACCTCCTCAACGACGATATTTTTTCCAGCACGTCCAACTAGCCACTGTGTAGAGAAATTTTATGGCTAACATAGTATTTACTTAATGACGTGGTTGACATGATATCTACTTAAAGAGAATGGGGATAAAATCGTTATTACGTACATGAAACAATTTTGTCGTGGTCAAAAGTCAAAAGCCATCGAGATGAATTAATGGTTGGGATCGTAAATGTGCTTGGTTCTTTCAAAACAACGTCGTCGTGGAGATGTATGATAGTCGGAACCCTAGATTCCCCAGCTGGCGACCTTTCCCACAGCAGGCCCTTTTGGCTCCAGGGGCGGCTCGAGTAGGCCCGGACCAGAGCCATGTAGAACTTCAACCCCGACGACACGCCCTTCTCGTGTGACGTCGCCTTTTCTTCGGTCTGACGCGCCTGTGTTGACATCCTCCGCGGGATTTGTCTATAGCGTTGGGGCGATTCTGGCGAGCAATCGCCATATCCACCACGTTCCTCATCGCCGGAGCGACCTGCCGATGACATTTTGTTGTTTTCGATTATCACGAGTTGTGATCCGCCATTGAATTCGTCCATCGAGAAGGGCATGTCGTTCTTTTTTCATCTACCGACGAGAAAAATATGTTGAGAGCCATGATTGGTAAGGGGCACACCATGAACTTTTGAGCGGGGGCCCGATCGTGAATTTGGCAGATACGAGCTAGTCTTGTCCGATTTCAATCCCAGAGTCCTGATAACATGAAAGAGAAAATCCCTCCTTGCCTGTTCGGTCTTTCTCAAACCCCGACGCTATTATGCTGGCAGGACCCACTAGGGGGTGCTATAGAAGCAGTGGTAGCGGTTGTTGTGGGTCTTGCACATGGCAATAGTGTCAAATTATGGTTAAGAATGTATTATGGGATTTTGGGGTTTGTCAAAATTATTATTTTTTTAATATTTTTTATTACTTTTTAACACGTCATTAAATAACATCTCTCTGAAAAATGTTGGTCATGTTGGATACATAGACGGACACTTTTGGGAAAAATATCGCCGCCGACGAGATATGAATTCGAAATGCAATATTTAAGACAATGATATACTTTTTCTGCAATATTTAAAAGTTTGGCTAAAATTGTAAAAATGTGTAGCATGGTGATATTATTGACAATTAATCCTATTATTTAGTTAGGAATGTAACAATATTTTAAATTGTGTATGTTGATTTAACTCGAAAACTATATCAGAATGAGGAGGTGTTAACTTGTTGAAATACAAACCATAATAAAACAAAAAAATAAATAAATTAATAAATAAAATCGGAAGGTTCCTGTAACAAAAAAAAAAATAAAATAAAAAAAAAATTAATAAATAAATGAAAAAACGAAAAAAGAAACTGAGAAAAAACTGAGACCACACGAGCCCGTGAGTGAAGCCAGGAAAACACCAGATAGCTCTCAGCATCTCAACAATGGCACATCAGCAATTTTTCGTACGTGTCTGCGTGCCGTTCTCGGAGAAACCATGGCCGCTATCAGCCTCTCACATGCACCACTCACTCCACCGGAACTCTTCTCCAGCCGCCGCATCTCCGCCGCGTCGCTCCCTGGAAGGAAACCCTTTTCCGCTACCTTCGCCGGCGTTTCCTCCTCCGAAGCCTCCACCGCCCCGCCGGAAAAGCCACAAATAGAGATGGAATTCATTGGGGTACTACCGCCTATTGAGTAATTTATAGAATCATTGGATGAAAATTGTTGTTAAATTGCTATCTCGTTGCTTGCCTGCTCGGTGGTGTAGTAATTTTAACCTAATTAACTCTTAAATTTAACATCAAATTTGACATTTTTTTTCATGGGTTTTGTTCATTTTGTGTATTGGGCGATAGCCCAAACCTGGAGATGAAGTGAACAAAGCAAAAGCTGTGAGTGGTGAGAAGCTGCTGAGGAACATTATGTTGGATAACAAGATTGAGCTCTATGCTGCTTATGTAAGTTTGAATGCTCATATATATATTGCATGTGTACATATGTCTTTTGATGTGCATAGTTTTTCATAATTTCTGCTTTGTATTGAGTGAATATTACGAATCTTGACGTTTGAATCGGGTGGAGTTGCTAATCAGTGCTGCAAATAATCGGTTTTATTCAAGAAATTATTAGGTGATCTAGTTTTAGCGCATATGGATTAGTTTCAATAGTTAGTTTTGATTTCTCCTACTGTTTCGTACCGGTGTTCATCACGTTGATTGAAGAAATGATTAGTGGCCGCCTTTTTGTTTTTCCATTTTCCTATGTTTTTGTTGGCTTGACTTGACAGGGGAAGGTAATGAACTGTGGAGGAGGAGGGAGTTGCGGAACGTGTATAGTGGAGGTAAATCAAGAAGCTTCTTGCTTAAATTTTTATCGTGCATCATTGTTTTGCTTAAATTTTGAGATGTACCAATTGCTATTATTATCGAAAATTCGAGACCATTGTTTGGATGATGCATAAAGTGTTGAATCATATATAGTTATGCTGTTTCCATGACATATCAAGCATGGAGATTTCTTCGAAACAAATAAACTCAATTGTTCAAACAAACAGTTTCATCTGAACCGTTTTGAATGAACAGTTGCACCCTTTTTATTCAAAATTTCTCATTTTTAATCACATATTTCCAACACATTATTGGTATTTCGTAATACGGATAATGGAATCCGCATCGACTTATGACAGATCATTGATGGAAAGGATCTTCTGAACGAGAGAACAAACACAGAGCTTCGATATCTGAAAAAGGCACGTGGTTACTGTTGTTTCATACAGTTTAGATGTGATCTTGAGTTCAAGAGCCCTTAACGTTTATAAGGATTTTAATTTTCTTTTTCCCTTTATGTTTCTAAAAGTTGGATAATCTATTCCATTTATTTCATGCTTGATCTCATAGAAACCAGAATCTTGGAGGCTAGCCTGCCAAACTATAGTTGGGAATAAGGAAAACTCAGGAAAGGTATTTGTGAAATCGAGATTGAAACTTGAAATCAATGGTAGCAAATTCAAGTTATAACCTTTCTATTGCGGGTTATTGTTTGTAGTCGCTGAGGATTGATGTGAAAATTCCCCATTTGGATAAATGTTACGTTTTTTTCGTGCAACCTAAACATTTTACTGCTCTCCACGACTTACTCCAAAATGAGAAGCTTTCTTGAAATAGAAAAAAAAAAATGAGTGGAATGATGAGCGTTGGCATGAGGACTTTCTTGATTAAAAAACCGAATGAGAGTGAAATAATATTAATAAATTTTTTCATAAAAGAAAAAAAAAAGGTTAGAACTTAGAACATACTTTGGTTTTGTGCATTCATTTTGTCACACTTTCATGATTACAATAATTAAAGTTTTTAACTTTGGTATATAAATTTATGCAGGTGGTCGTCCAAAGGTTGCCCCAATGGAAGAAATGATTAGAGCTACTTTGAATGAGTCTGGTAATTTATGAAGAATGGTTAAAACATTTTTTAATTATAACAAAATCAAGAACTTCTTGCTATTAATTTGTTAGATAAACCTCATTTGATTATTTGAAGCTCTATTATGTACCTTCATTTTGCTTATTGAGAAGGAAAATAATCTGTGATATTATTGTTCATCCTTTGATTGTGATGATTTGTTTTCATAGTTTGTGGTCATGCCAAAATTATCTTTTAATTACCTATTAAGATATACAAAAATAAATAATGATGAGTGAATGTGAATTGCTATATGGGCCCCAACCTAGCCATCCGTGACTGTTGAAATTTTAAGATGGTTTTGAGTAAATTAGATGCACGAGAGAAAAGTTTACCTAAACATCTTAATTTAGGGACTAGTAGTCTAGTAGGTAGAGGCATAAACGAATCGAACAGAAGCTCGGGATTGACCCCTTATCGATCTAAGTCGAGTTGAGTTTGCTAACTAAACAAGTTGATAAATGAGTCGGGAGTGACCCCTTATCGATCCAAGTCAAGTTGAGTTTATTAACTAAACAAGTTGATAAGTGAACTTTAACGAGCTGAACTCTAGCATTAAGAAGTTAATTATATAACATTAATCTGCATCTTTGAGTTTTTGGCTCGGTTCGTTGACTAAATGAGCTCAAACTAACGAAGCACAACTGGCAAGCATTTCGTTTCGTTTAACGGCTCGACTTGTATAATAGGGCTTAGCCTGTTAGAGATCTAAACCAATTCAAACGAGCCAATTTGAATCGAACTGACGAACGACTCGTTTTGTTCAAAAGCTCTACTAGTCGAATATGATGTTTTCAGTTACCCATTAGATAAGTTGATTAGTCATATTATTTAATAAAAAAATGTATATTTGTGTTGAAATGTTAGTTTAGTGATATTGCAACATCGCTATAGATCGAAATCCAAATCATTTTTCTAATTGAGTGGTCATCAAACTTCTATTTCGTAAAATAAATTGGATAAAATAAGTGTAGTAAAATAAATAGGCAGATAATATCAGTAATTAAAAATAAAAAATAAATCGAATTGGTGTTGGACAATCTTGACCAAACATAATAAAATCGTGACAGTGCAAAACATGCTCAACCAAAATCAATATGTTGGTGGGTCGAACAGAAGACAAAAGTAAACAGCTGGAGGTAGAGAGCATTATATTTCTCAATGAATTGATTAAATTTGTATAAAATTGATTACATCCCATTATAAATGTATTATTTCGTAATAAATATCATATATAATAATACAAATGTGGATATGAGAACTAAATGAAAAAATGACCATAGTCACCCAAATAGTTGTGTTGATATTCACATAAAAATTAAAAAGTATGCATGTCATTCTATCAAAAAAATTATGGAGCCATCGGATGGTTTTTTTTATGGAGTCATTGATCATTTAATGTATTGGCACATGTTCAAAGTGTATTTATTGTAGGACACGTGTCAATACACTATTTGTGAATAACTGTGGATGACTCCATAAGCCGAGTCATCCGGTGGCTTCATAGCAAAACTGGTGATTCTATTAGGTGAGTCGACAAAACACAAATTAGACAGCCTAATAATTAGGCGATCGACCAATCATACAATATAATAAAAATATATGTTTATATTATTAATTGTCATACTCCTATTTATTGTCTTTTCAATAAGTATGTACATTTGTAATGAAAAATTGACGGTGGTTTACCGGCCTAATCTACCGCGAACAAAATACTTGTTTATCAAAACCGTTACCAGTCAAAGAAAAAAATAATAACACATTTCAATTTATATTCTTTAAATTTGAATGTATATTGTTTTGAGAAGATCATGTAAATAATATTAATATAGCAATAATTATTATTCAAACACTTGTGAAACTGATTATGGAATACAATTAAATTTAAAACCTAATTAAGGAGAGCATTAACTTTTAGATATAGAAAATTTATATAGCTTTATCAACTTTGACTGAAACCCCCTGATTTTTTAATTCACACTTCATGATATCACAATCCAAATGTTTTGTTTTGTAAAAAAAATTTGGGCTAAATTGTAGTTATGAGTTGTTTTGGACTCTAAAGCATAATTTCAAGAAAAAGCTCAATATAAAAGTTTTCTTGGAATATATAATTGTAAAATTATTTTTTTTTGGGAAAAACGAGTGTGGTCTAAGCAGATACCACGCAGATGAAGCGCACCAAGACATGGAAAGCCCAGATAAAGTTCAAGTGAGATTTAATCACAAAATCAATTTGTGGAAGAAGAAATAGCTCAGTAGACTTATAGATTAAGCCTTTTATTATATAAACGATATTGGACATTTCACAATTGAATATTCTAATACATTCTAAAAAGCCAGCACTAATTAAATGTCTGCTATGAACTGAAAATTCAGTAAGATACTAATCATCCTAGTTAAATTAAATCAACTATTGTATACAAAACAAAGTAAAACAAGATAAATAAAAATGTTTTACATAATATATTTTCTTACATTTTTTTCACTAAAGAATTTTAAATGTTTTCTATTCTTAAAGGGAAACAAAGCAAAATATCTGTCAGCTGAATTTGCAACCACAGTGGTTGAAAGTCAAGAAATCAACTCTGATAATATTCCTTCCCCTCCAGTACATATTTTTTTTTAATCTGTTTTGTGATAAATATTTGTAAATAACATACTCAAATTGCTTAATTCCTTGTGTATTTGTAATAAAACTTAATCGAGCGGAGTTGAACTCGAGCTCGAGTTCAGCTCGTTTTTAACTATTAATGAGTTGAGCTCGAGTCTTAATGAGCCAAACTGTAAAAAAATATATAAAAATTCATTTTTCCGAGCATTTACGATACTCGGCTAGTTAACTTCAACGAGCTCGGTTCTGCTCATTTATCAAACTAGTCGAGCCGAGTCAAATTTACGAGCGACTTATTTTGTTTAACAACTATGTAACGATTATTATTATAAACTTAAATTCCCTAAAAATTAAATGCATCAAATTTATTTAATCTTGAGCCCAAAAACAAAAAACAAAGGGGAATAAAAAAAAAAAAAAAAAA